AACAGTTCCCAAATACTAACTACTACCACTCGCACAGATATAAATGACTGGGGGTCTGGAATAGTGGAGATTCAGCCCACACATTTCTCATGGGAGGAAAGATACAGGATGAAATTGTAAGATGGTAGAAATATCTGCTAATTCTCTCCTCAGTTTTCACCAAAGCAACGGAGGCAGAAAAGCAGTGAAGCTTATCACTCAAGCTGAGCCGAAGTGTTTTTGCTTTCACACAAAACCTCCCACAACATCAATATAACCTCTATGAACACTGGATCTAATGAAGTCTGGATTCCTAAGGACTTCTGTCTCATGGCCGACTGACTTGGGAGTTTAATAAGATCCAAGCACCAAATGAAGCTTTTTCTGTGAATGGGACATTTATTAGATCCTGAGTGGAGTCTCTGGAGTTTAATAAAAGAAAGCTCATGCTGCAATATTTCCTTTTGAAAACACATTTTAGGTTTCTCTCCTCCAACTGGATTAATATTTTTTATGGAACATGTAAGAATTTAATTGCTGTGAAGGCTGGTGTTCCTCTACAAATCTGTTTGAAATTGGCCCAGGATTTTGATTTACTGTGAGGAAAAGAATACTGACAGACGGACAGACATGCCCACATAACGTGCTCTCATTTGCTAGCAGTAACCAGGCTAAAAAAATCCTGTATACTCCAGGGATGCAGCAAACGCTAGAAGAGTGTGCACATTTAAGAAAAAGAGAAACCTAGAGATGTCTCTGATGTAGACCAGGTTCAAGCCCAAATTCACTGGGCAGTGAAACAGAATGATGATCCTCTTGTTGTCCTTCTTTCCCTCTCCATCTCAGTCTTCTCCCTTTGCACTCCTATTGCAGCATGTGGCCAGGATGCTATTCCCTTATCCAGTCACTACTGGTGCAAGCTTAGAGAGCAGTGAGCAGTGCAGCAATTCAAGAAGCCAGCAGGAGTACTTCAAATCAAAGCTTATGTCCCTGATTTAGAGTACCTATGACAGGCTTCCTATCCAAAGGGTATGGAGAAAATAGGAGATGCAGCAGCTTCAATTTGACAGAAGGAGATATTTAGTAGACCTTACAGCTCAATCCATGGGGCCTCGAGCTCATATGCAAAAGTGTAAGGGTCTACATGGGTTTACTACTCATTCAATTAACCTACTAGTAAAGAGTTTCCAAAGAACACATGAAGAATGGGAGCCAGAGAGAGAAGCCAAGGACTGAGCAGCATGGGCACTCACCTGTAAAGTCAGCATTCACATTCTGGGTGCTGCAGATTAGTGAGGTGAATATTAAAAATCACTGACCAAATGAAAACCAACACCACCTTTTGATATTCTTAAAAAATGTTTTCCCTTTAAATTTTAGCTCTTGTTCATGTTCCAGTATTCAGGGTTTCAGAGGCAGCATTTTCAACAAATACGACCAGCTTTATCAGAATGAAAGATACTGGAATAATTGATTTTAATATTGCTGTCTGCTAAAATCCTGGCACCAATGGTGGCTGAGTATATACACATCTATATTCATGAACCTAACTCTGAAGAAACATTTTCTTTAGTTTTGCTCCTTATTAACTAACCGACAAACACTGAAATCAGCTGTACTGAGAAGAAAAGTCAGCCAAGTTTTGTACATGCTGAAATAGTACAGAGAATGTGGCATACCATATAAACACCTCAACCGAATGTCCTTTTCCTTCTAAATTCAGATTAACTGCCTCATAATGAAGTATGAGAGCAAAGTAATTAGTCAGAGCTTGGTGATTTATTTGCCACAACTTACAATCTTTTCAACCCCAGCTGTCCTTCCCTCCCTGTTATGAATGCAGAATACTACGCTTAAGAATGAGAAAGCGGTGAATAACAAACACAGAATAATTAAGAAGAAGTGTTTCTGTCAAAACTGATATTGGAATAAATGATTAAACCCTTTCATAATCAATTCATTTATTAAAGTGAACGCCTTAAAGTGAAAGCTTGTCACTAATGGTAGGTTTTTTTGCAATGGGCAGTTACTTTGTGTATTTATTTCAAGAGTCCATTTTTGTACTCTGATGAATCAAGAAATACTGATTTTGAGCAAGTTTCTGATTTGTCAGAACAAATTTAGCTTTGAGAATCTATTTTATTAACCTTTACATAAGTCCCTCTAAACATACAGCTTGCAAGCAACCTCCATTCTCTTGCTGTAAAAGCCATCTGTAATTTAGCCAAAGCCCAATTTAAGTGGACACGGGACAAATTCCCTTTTCATTTCTGTTTATGCCATTCTGGAATAAACTCGGCAAGTCTTGCAAGGATGTGCAATTGTTTCTGACTAAGTGAAAATATCATCCCCTTATTTTCATTGATGCAATTTCAGATCAACATGCCTGACTTCAAGGGGATGTGATTATTTCATAGCGTTTTCTGGTTACCAGCAGCAATTTTGGAAGAAGACTGTTGTGGAAATTTGACACTTTTCAGAACATGCATTCTTGGCATTTCTTTTGTGTCTGGGTTTTACTGCGTATGTGTAAAATCTCTAAAGTATGGATGTTGTGAAAAATTTCAGTAGGTAGATTCACTTAAACATTCAAAACCTAAAGCCTCCAAACAAAAAATTTGTTTTGCTATCAAAAGCATACTGTCAGCAATATGATTTCACCTCCCAGTGACAAAAAATTACACAGTAAGTATTACTATACATAGACCTTAGAAAATGAGACTGGCCACTTTTTAGGGACACTTTAATATGCCATAATTTATTATGCTGTTTAGAATATTTACTGGCCTGCAGTCACAATTTATCTGAAGATTGTCTCAATCTATATGCTAGAACATGTCTTGATTTCCCAGAATGCTGAAACATTGGCAAGGTTTTAAGAACTGCGCAGCAAGTTTCCTGTAGGAGCTGCAGCATGGAAGTACCTGGATTGTTCATGGAAAAAGGAAGTTTATTTCTGTTTCTATAAAGAGAAGGCCCTACCCCAGCTGAATTCTGATATCCTGAGAGCCTTATGAAGAATAATTTGGTCTATGAGATGATTTTTCTTATGTATGATTTTGCAGAAGCCCTTTCTCCATGGCACTAGAACTACGTTGTAGAGTAAGGTAAGCTATAAACTTGTCTCTGGCAGGTAGCATATCTATCAAAACCCAGGATTTTAGGGCTATTTAAACCTACTTACAAATTCTTGGCATATTTGATTTCAGCCCCCAAGGTTTACCTTTTTCATTTCATTTTAATTTAAGAAAAAATCCCTGCTGCAACATTTTTGCTACAGGGTATTTGCATTTTTTTTAAAGGTATTGAAAACTATTGAAACTCACCATTTCAGGTTTAGTGAGACATTTTATTATTGAGGAAAATGAGCAAATATTTGAACACAAATACACACTTGTGTAGGGCCACGTATTATATGGCCAGTAAAGCAGTTGTCTGTACAGCCTGAGATGCAGATTACAAGGAGAAGGCAAGGGAGCAGACTCTGCAGCTGGCACCATTCCCTGCAACTTAGAGATATCTAATCTGGTTATTGATGCCCGAGGCAGTTGTTACATGGATCCAAGAAGCAAGTAAATGTGCTTCAGGCACGTTTAAGTTCCATGAAACACCATGGCTCCTGCCTGGTGATGTGCACCGACAGAGCACAGTCAGAGCCTCCAGCCAGGAGCAATGCTTGCTGCGGTGGGTTCCTGCTCGTCACCTGCAGGACAGGCTGTCCTGCAAGAAGAGGTGCCAGAGCAGAAGCCAAGGTACCCAGAAGCTGAATGATCTTAAAGACAATTACTAGTATAAGCTTGGGTTTAGCACAATTTAGCAGTTGACCCTGTTCTGCTTTACATGGAATAATTATGTGTCTACCACACAAGAGAGAATAAAAATGCCTGTTTATTCCAGAATCTGCAACAAGGAAGCTGAGGTTCCTCTCCCCACATTTGCAAATACTTAAAGTGTAGTGACATGTGAAATACAACATGGACACGTTTTTCTGTTTCGACTAGTTATAAAATCCCTGAGTGCTTTTGTGGCAGCAGCATTAGATTCCATTGTTTGTCCCTGTGAAATCTGGTAAGAACTACCCAAAATGCTGACCCCACATTCTTCATGTATACATGAAGATTCATACAGTCTTCACACAAGATTATAGTCACCTGCTGTTACTCAAAGTCTACCTAGAAACGAGGAACAAGCTTTCACCATTGTTACACAGTGTTTTTTAACTGTGATTTTCTAATTACGAAGGACTGAGGAAAGGGCAAGGAGAAAATGAAATGCACAATTAACTGGATCCTGGTTATTAGCTTACACAGTCCATAATACAAATTTAGAATGTTACCTGGATGCCTTAAGATTTTTTCAAGTAGAGCTTTTCTCTCATTTGAAGCTATTAGGGCATTTACTGGCAAGCGCCAATCCCTTACTTGTGCCATCTGCAAGTGTGGTGCACTGCATGGTCAAAAGTACCATTTATGTTTCTTCATGTTCATCTTTGTATCTTATTTACCACAAATTAGTGTCTTTTAGTCCTATTTCTTTTACACTGCTCTTGAAATAAGAACCAAGAGGCACTTTGAGAAATGTACTGAAATGCAGTAGCTTCACTACAATACTGATGTTGTGTAAATACTTACTGTAATGCTCCTGCTTGATTTAGAACAGACTTGGATGTAAAAAGAACATGCATTTTTTTCCATTAGTAGTTCAAGCAAATCAGTTCTAATGCTGACGAAATATCTCAGAATAGTAAGCAACTTTCTAAAGCAGTATTTTAAATAATATTCTTTATATAAGCCCCTCTACACATTCAGATGCCATCTAGAAAAAAATCAAATGTACAGTTTTGCATTTATATGGTACACCTTAGAGTAATCGTGTGAATGGAAGATCCACTCCATATGGTGCAGTCCTGAACTATCTGATTCATCCAGCATATTCTGATATACGATCCTTGTACAAGAAACTAAGTTATCTGTCTCCACAATGTTTAGAAAAGTGACAACACATGAAAACCAGGTGTCTACCTGAGTGATGTCCATTCCAGAGTCACAGCTCAATGGCTGGGTTGATGTGAGGCCGTTCGAACCTATTATTGTTGTGATCACACCGTTCTCATCAATTTTCCGAATCATGGTTCCGTCAACAAAGTAAATAAAGCCATGCTTATCTACAGTGATACCTGGATGAAGGGAAAGGGTAAAAAAGAGTATTAGTACTGACATTATCTAGGTTAAAACATATGAGCTTAAAATGTTCCCTTTCCTCCTAGAAAATCTACTGATTAAAAAAGTATGGGTTATTTTTTTTCTGCCCATTACTTCTCTGAGGCTTATATAAACTGTATATAGAAAGATAACACCCATATATCAGACTGTCTCTGACTTACAGAGAAAGAGGGAAAATATGAAGCAGAAACAGAACAAAGCAGCAAAGGCTTTGCTCGTAGTGCAATTCTAAATACATAGAATTCTATATACATAGAATTAAGCTCTTCCATAACTATTTCTTGCCCATTACAAAGTGGGACAAGGCTAGCTTTTCTAAAAACTTATCTTGCAGTTGATTTTTCTTCATCTCCATTTTCTTTATTCTCATGGAGGGGGAAATTTATTACTGCACTTTTTGAATTACCAGTGTCTGAGCAAGGAAGACACAGAAAGCGAAGACTTTTGTTCTGATATGTGTTATACATATAAGTGGTGCAAACTGGGCTCTCCTTGGCAGGCAGAAGGAATGTCTGTGCTGCAGAATGCATTGCAGTGCAGCGTTGCCCAAGAGGACAGTCATGTACTGGAACCAGCCTCTTGACAAGAGTGGGTTTCAGCAGGAACTAGGGCAGTTCTCCCACCTCTGTATCTGCAGCAGCTCTAACACCATTGCACTGCACTGCACTGCTCAGGAAAGACGGACCCTAGAACAAATGTGAGGGCTATGCAAAGCACATGGTCTTCTGCATTTCAGTGGGGAAAATGAGGCATAGAGGGCTTGCTGTCTCACATTAGCAGTGTGTGGTACAGCCATGTCACATCTCATGCCCAACCTTGTTCTGTCCCAGTCTAACAATTTCTACCCAGTTCTTCCTACATTTAATTTGTTAAACTCTTCTATATTGCATGAACTGTAAGAAAGATCTTTTTTCCCCCTGAAATATTGAAAATATAGCTAGAAAAGCACTTCTATTCATGTTCGGTTTGTGAAATCCTTTCTACCAAAACAGCTCAATATTTTGCCTTTTAAACTGCTTTATAATTTCCCATTTAAAGTTGCATAACTTTGCAATTATAGCAGCTGCTGTGCAAAGCCAAACTATTTTAAGAATGAATTTATGTTCTGCTACACAGAAATGAAAGGCAGAGGACTTGAACAGATGATTTAGACAGTGGCTTATATGGTTCTTGATTTTTGTCCCCTGCACTTAGCACAACCGAAGACTGCATGTACTCTGAGTTACAAAACACTTGTCTGCATGCCAGTTTAGGTTCTCACACAGCAATTCCACACACCATTAAAAAAGAAAAGAAACCTCAAACTGAATTCCCTCACCTCCCAGCCCCATTTTCTTATAGTTCTTATATTTCTTCAAATACAAGCAGTTGTAACTGGATGCAAGTGAGAGTAAGCAGTCTGGGGGGGCAGGAGCAGGATCAGGCAGCCCTGATGGGGAACATACATCTCCCATGGGACTGGGAGAAGGGGGGGGTACTGTCTCCTCAGCCTGCTAAATAATCTGTGCCTGGCAGCTGGAAATGCCTGAGGACTAAATCTGAACTACATATACAACTGAGTGTCATACACTTTCTCTTACAGTGTTAATAACCAGTGGCAGGGTCCCAAGACAAACTGCCCACAACCACTTCTTTTCTAACAGAAAGCAGGAATAATGTCCACACCACTTTCTCTACCACAGCAGGAGATCAGCAGGGGCTCAACTCTATCCTGTGCTAGAGCAGGGTCACCTCCTCTGATGGAGGGTTTCTGTCTCATACGTGGGCTGAGAGGGAGGCACTGAGGCTGTGAGGACTTGCAGGGGGACAGGCTTTTGGGTACACCCAGCCATCATGTCCCCCACTTCCCATCACCGCAGGTGATGTTTAGGCCCCATACAAATGTCTGAGGGCATCATCACAAAAAAGCATCGAAAGGCAATAGCAGTTAATTTTAGTGTCTATCGCTCCTATTACGTCCAGCTGAAAGGACATCGATCAGCACAGAGTTGAAAATGAATTCTTTAAACTGTTAATTCACTACATTCATTTGGCTATGAACTGCTGTGAGAAGAGGGGTATTCACCACTCTGTCACCCTCTCTGTGCCCATGGACTGCTGAAGTGCTGCAGGGTACAGGATTAAGCTACATGACTTCATTATGCAAAATGGCCGATCACTGAAATATCCAATTTTCCAGGACAGATGTCACCTGTGGGATTGAAATCACCTGGAAGGGCTGGATGGATTAGCTGTGGGAATCAGGGAGGTTATAAAAAGGCTGGAGGAAGAGCAGGTATCTTAGGACCTGACTTCATGCCAGCCCACCAGCTCATACATCGTGCCTCTTTTGCTCCCTTAGAGGATCTTTATTCTTTAATTAGAGAGCAATAGTGCTTTCAGAAGTTACAGAGCAACTGGCAAGCTCCTGGCTGTCGTCTGCTTCTGAGAATCCAATTATAACTCTGAAAGGCTGAAGGTGAGCCGAGGTAAAGAGTGCATCTGAGGAGCAAAAGGGTTTGTTTTCAGTGTTGGGGAGGGTGACCTGTGCCTTCCAGCTTTGGGGAAGGGGTGGTACCTCTGTTTGTCCCTCATGAACACTAAGGAGACTGTGCTGAAGAGACCTATACATTCAAAAGGCCAGAATTAGGGATGCCCACACGGCTGGAGCTGAGGGCCAGTGCCTCCTCAGAACAAAGGCTAGATGTGTGAACTGCAAAATTGCTTTTGATACAACTGAGGTGCTAAAACAGCCACCCTAAAACCCCAACCAAAGCAAAAAGAAACCCAGTCTGGTTATTAATGACCATATAAGCAATTAATATATAAATCTGATGTGTTTTTTCCCGTTATTCTGAGGGAATGCACATGGCAGAAGCCAACAGAGCAAACTGCGCTGAAAGGACTGCGCCTTCTGTGGTGCATCTAGAGGTCTGCAGAGGTTTTCATGACAATACTTACCAAAGGCTGGAGTCATGAGCTGCAGTTTGTCTGTACATGGATAAATCTTCAGAAAAGGAGAAGGGCTGCCTCAGTTTGGGGCCCTACCATAGCACAGGCAGGGCTGGGCTCTGAATGCTCAGGGGTTCCCCCCCTCCTACCTGGGCTCACTCCTACTCTGATCTGCTTTATGCTGTAAAGATGAAACATGCTAAGAGACTGATCAGAAGGGTTGGATCCTTGAGGTCCCTTCCAACCTGGTATTCTATGATTATTAGTAAATGGAAAAGATGCTAGGAAATTGTTTGAGGGTTTTCTCTTCAGATATATGTGAAGGTTCAGTCCCAGCCTCCTGAGAATCTCTTCAAGAATCCTTTTGGGAAGAAAAAGCAACGCAGGACTGCTGTGGCAGGGAAGGACTGAGAAGCAAGGACCATCCTACGTGACTCTTATGGTGTGCATGCAGCTCTGATTGTTGGGGGTGTTTCTAACCTTACTGCTATTTTGCTGTGGAGCAGTATTAGACAGGATTTGATTTGCTTTCCAGTATGGGTCACAGGCTCAGATGAGGAACTACAGCACATGTGCTGTGTCTTAGTCTGTGTTTGCAGAGGGGTGGTGCTGCTTTGTAAGCAAAGAGCTGAGCTTCTCACCTGGGCAGTGCAGCCCTGGATCAGATCCCTGCCATAGATAACACAGTGCCAGGATCTATCACCACAGCAAATGCATCTCCTGTTTTACACAATTTCCCTGTGAACAGATGGCTGTGTTGGCTGCAAACCCTCCATTATATAAAAATCAAAAATTATGCTGCAATGAAATAAAGCTACTCAGCTGTGTTGCTGAATGGGTTTCAAACACTGACCATACAAGAAAACTAAACATCCTTTAACGTTAATAGTGTACATGTTGCTCTCCAGCCACTGCAGAAAACCAAGCTATCCGCAAGTGAAGTACATCTGCCAGTGTGATGGCACAAACAGGCCCATGTCTTCAGTATTTGTACTAAAGATGAGAAATTCCTGATACTTCCTAATAAGCAAGTTTCAAGTACCAGTGTTCAACAAGAAACTACTGCTTCCAGTCCTTATGTATACTAAAACATGACCTCCCTATTTGAAAAAAATATTTAGCAGTTATGTCTTGTTGACAAATACCCTGTACAAGGCATCCACTGGAAAACAAAATACGGATTTGTGGCTAAACTGTCCCAATTTATTCTTTATTAGAGCTGGATTCATTAATGCTCCTATCACATCGTGCATAATGCTTCACATAATCTGTACTCCTAGAGCTTATTTTTAATCCTTTTCTGACGTACAGTGTAATGCAGAATCAAATCACATGCAGCACTTCAATTGTGCTTTAATCACCGAGGAACTTGGAGAGGAAACATGCACATGCTGAGCGGAATGAATTGCACTGAGTTTAAGTAGGAACACCATTCACCAGTGAGTCAAAAAGGTCATTTTGGGGTATCTTTTCTTTGCATAGAGCATGAGATGTGGTTTGTACTAAACTCAGTCTGAATTTGTATATTTTTAATGGACCTGTAGCACTAAACTGTATGCCCAGCAGATGCTGTCTTTGGGCACAGGTGTGACCTATTGCACTAATGACAAGCTTACCTTGCTTGTGCATGAGATTACTCATTAAACACTGATGTCTGAGTAAGGACAAAATAAACTTGTGCAAGGATTTAGTCTTGTAGATGAGCACAATCTCTTTTTCTGAGTAACATACTTGCACTGAAGGACTGGTTTTAGTCTTCTTTAGTCACTAGAACTGTCTTAGGACTAGATTTTATACCTGAATGTAAAACAGTTGCTCTTATGAACATTTATATCCAGTAGATTTATGCACAGACATCTTTGAACAATAGTTATAACACTTAGGTGTTATACATATATATATATATATATATATAAATAATCAGTACCCAGTACCATTTAAATTCTGTTAACTAATATTAAAAATGAACCATGCTGGTGCAATCACACATGGTTACTATGTATCATTACTAAAAAGGCTCTGC